ACTATTACTTTTGGGCTCTATAGCCCTAAAGTCGATTTGACAACTAATAGTCGTTATTTTCCCACTTGAAGACATTTTCAAGCCCCACCTTTTTTAGGGAAGTTCTAAATTAGTATTATCTTTCAAATGCAGTTGGAATTTATTTTTTTCATTTTTTTTTTGGCCTGCAAATGGGACATAGTACCTTTAATTAGATGCAGGTTTTCATCAAGCTATCCTGCATTACATTATGTGAATGAATATCCATGTCAATTTTTTGCAACAATGTCATTCGGGGTCGACAGGGTGACTCAATCATAACAGACAGGGCAAGGATAATTGGCTGCTACAATGTTTTCAAGTTGTCCATTCATGTTATTACGCCATAAATGAACAAGCAAAGACTCTCGTTAAATATAATATTAATTTCAGAAAAGCACGACTTCAGGCAATGTATTATACTTGAGCATATTAATATCCTCATCGCGATAAAACGAAGCATGGGCACAAACTTTGAGGCACTTTGTTCTTTTTTCTCAAATTAACTTTAACCTTTCATGAATGCTCTTTTCTGTAGTTTCATAGTAACATACACTTAGATAGAATCTTTAAAAGAAAATACATTTTTCTGAGGACAAAAATCATGAACAGGGAAAATAAGTACGCTTCCTGTTCACAAAACTTTCATTTGTTTTAAATACCTGTATACATTGTGATGATTAAAAAATGTCTCACCTCTGCAAAAATATTTATAATATCATTAAATTATAGAAAATGAATATAAACATGATTTCAATTTTGAGCAAGAGTGTAGTATTTGATTCCCTACCCTACCCCTGCAACCCCCTTAAAAAAATGGCAAAACATCTAGTCTCCAAATACAATGACCTCTTGCACTGGAATGTTAAAGATTCCACCAGAATCATTCTCACTTCATCAAACTTCCCAGGCAATGAATACAAGAATGTGTCATCTTTTCCTTGACTACATCTCAGCTCTGAATTCTTATGGCCTATTTAGACCGGAGGAAATTTATACAAAACTTGAAACGTCACTTTAAATATAGAATCATCGTACAGTGAATAGGGCTTACACTCTGGATAACAACAGTATATAACATGACAGCTGACCAATCATTAGTGCGCACTCACAATAAGCCCAATGCATTTACACACTTTCAGTTAACATGCTGTTCAGACAAGAACAGGCCCCCATTTCACAAAAGTTGTTATCAGTGACAAATGAAATTTTTTTGTTATAAGCTAGTGAAATTTTTGCTTCTGATTGGTTGTCAACAGATTTTTGTCATTTTTCTTTTGAAAAAGGCTTTGTGAAACGGGTCCCAGGTCCCTGATTCTTAATTCAAAGCTTTTTATCTTTCATAACAATGCTCAGACAAACAGTTCATTTTGCTATACAACATATGTACAATGTTTTCTATTGTTTAGACTAGTTTTTCATGTTATCTAAACGTGGGGGGGGGGGGGGGGGGGGGGGAGGAGGATTATCAATCTTTGTTTTCTTCTCAAAACAATACCCTAATATATGTGTCACGATCCAACATTTCATAATACAATGTTTAGAATAGAAAATAGTACTTATAATAGATTTTTTTATAAAGCCGTACATCAATTTTTGGGGGCTGTGTAAATGGGGTTTATTCATTCACACAGCAGGAGCACATGCCCCGATGGCCTTGTGTCATTGGTATCCAAGGGTTATCAGTCAGGAACATAGCATTTATCAACATGATATGTTTGCAGAAAGAAGACGCTACTGACATCACAATTTAAAGGCCATTCCTTCATCCATGAAATATAAATATTGTTCCAAGGACTGTGCACTGACCCTCACCATTGTAAAACAAAACTAGAGCTATTAGTATTGAACATTATAAGTTTTGAATGATTTTACATAATAATTGAACTTATGAAACATATATTGTTTTGAATTTGGTTAGAATTTATAGAGCTCTCTACTTCAAAAGAATAAATTGAAATATTTCATCATCAAAGTCTGTTTTGCAGAAAAAATATAGGCTCACTCGCGTTTCTCTAACAAAAATCCCTCTCCCTCTCTTTCTCAATTTCTTTTCTTTTCTCCCATCTTTCTCTCCTTTTCCCCATCTTTATATCTTTCTCAAGTTCATCTCTTTTGTCCTTGTTTCCAGACCAATCCTACGGTCCCACTCTATTCCACTTTGTCTTTAAACAAAACACAAGTTTACTCTTGTACAACAACTTATAGCCAAATTCTGAAAAGGCCTTCATTTATAAAGATCCAAAACAAAATCATCAAAGGATTCGGCAGGCACAAACTTTTCTATCCATTCCTTGAATCTTTATGCCACAACCTCTAAAATATCGTAGGAGGAAGTTATAATCTACCAGTTTAGGGTGCTCTTTTATCATCGTTCCCTGCCGTTTTGACACGACTTCCCAAATTAGCACGCCCCCCGAAGCCAATCTAATTTAGTTCAGGCATTTAACTGTCAACTATTTGAACTTTGCAGCAATCGTATCTAGTCTGTCAGCTCATAACCCCTTCTGTAGAGACAGATGTACGATGACAATGAAAACATAGGAGTCCGTTCATGTCGATACGATGTGCTAAGCTTAACCCCGGTACTTATTTTGGTTTTAAGACCAACTGATGTAAAGGTACATCTACAAGATTGTATTACTTGTAATTACAGATTCTATTAATCCTTTTACAGAAAATTAGGTTCCTTTCAGAATGAGAAGTAAAAAACTCTTTGTCAACTTTTCAGAGCTGAGATCTGCTTCTATGTAACTCTTAAGATTGAAGTATGTTAATAGTTCCCTTACTTACGGGGACATATCAGCTGATATCTAGTGAAGAATACATTTGATCTTGCAAACATCCTTCCATATGACATCATACTACCTATACCATTTATCAATCTGTCAATTCCACAAAATATCAACCTTCTTTCAAAATTGTTAAGCGTATCATATCCAAAGTTTCAAGACTGGTGAATGTCTACTTTAAAATTGTTAGTAATCTATCGTTCATAGAATGTGACACCATCTTTTCTAAAAGCATTTGTACACATACAGTGAACTAAATTATTGATAGGCCTTGTTAATGTGATGTTTTTTTGTGTTTTTCATAACCCAAGAATGAAAGTTGGACTGATTGAATCATGGCCTTTGTGGAATACTTTAAAATGTAAGCTTTCATATGTCACATTCTCAAGAAACATAAATTGGGACAAATACATTTTTCAAAGCTTAATAACTTACGAAACTTGGTAAGAGTATGAATAATTTATTGGTTAACTGTTAATCTACTTCTGAGCACTTGTCCACTCAAACTGGAGATGGATTAAATGGGTTTAGAATGAAAGACTAAAGAGGGCCAGAAGCAAAGTATCCCTGGAATCTCTGAGTGTCATTTTACAATCCGATAGACTCATCTTCCTATAGCACTCAAAGCTCCTATACTGTGTTTCTGTACTGTGTTTCTATACCGAGTATCATTTTACAATCCGACTCAATGCTTCTATACTGTACGCATGGATGAATTCTTCAATACATTGCTCAACTCAAGATCTCATATTGTATTCTCTTTGTATCATTGCACTGTATTCGCCATACAAAAATTGTTGATATCCGACAAAAAAAGTGCTACTGCTAAAATCAGCAGTATTTTACTACCCGGTAATCAAAATGCAGTAACACAAAAAGATGTTTTTAAGAAGCAAGATTTCTCATAAAATTAATACGATTATTTTTTTCATATCATAATCAATCTTAAAATTTAAAATCTTGTGTAGAATATTGATCATATAAAACCTCTTGAACCCTGAAAACTCTTAAAGTAATATGTGGAAAAATGTTCAGATATGATAGTTATTGCTTTGTTAAATTACAAGTCTCCAGGGCACGATTAAATCCACACAGTCAGACTTGCAAGACTATACTTCAAGGCACTGTCACGCCGATTAGCGCAAGACTTGTTAAATCTTTATCCCAAATCTTCAGAGTGATTTAGGAGAGAAGGGATTTATGGCTCTGCCACGCACTTCTGCTATCTGCTTTGGATGTTAAAGTACTGCATGGAATCTGTGATTCTTCTTATGTGTATTCCTGCTTGTACCTTCCTACACCTCTTAAACTGCTTTCCTGTATTTCTAGAATCCTGTACTATTGTAATGGCTTATCTCTCCATCTACCTCTATCTATCTCTTTCTTTCTGTGCTACTACTGCAAATTGGGACAATTTAAGAACACATGCCTCTCCCTTCACCAACACAGGTGCGAGCACTATATAACTCTCCCTCTCTCCTATTTCTTTTTCTTTCTCTCTTTCTCTCTCTCTTTCTTCTTCTCTCCTTAAGTTTGTGCACAAAAACCCATTGATGCCCATTATTGAGCAGACCATCATGCAGTCAATGCCTCCCTCCCCCTTTCTCTCTCTCCCTCTCTCTCTCTCTCTCTCTCTCTCTCTCTCTCTCTCTCATTATCTCCTCTATCTCTCTCTCTCTCTTTCTCTCTCTCTATCTCATCTCTTTCTCTATCTCTCTCTCCCTCTCTCTCTCTCTATCTCTGTTATTAACCCTCTCTTTCTTTCATTCTTTTTCATTTAAAAAACTACTCCAAATTCAGATCTGTAAAGTGTACAGCAAATGAAAATTTAAGGAAGTGCCCTTCTATATAGGAAAAAAAAATATGAATTAGACAGCCCATGATGAAATTGTGTAATATTTTGCCAGTCGACTGAAGGTTCACAAAACTGATGGTGTGCAAGCCTGGAGACCTGTGATACCAACAGTTTTGATCTTGAGGACAATTAATCATAATGTTCATGAGACCCACATTCTTGATCTGGTGGATGTTGGCTTACAGAGCTGTGCAAAACAGGACTTTAGAAACCAAAGCTAAACATCAGGAATGTATATTCTGTAAATAACATATATAGGTTGATTTGAACTGAATTAATCATTTTTTCTTCAATGAAAGCAGCCTAAACACTCATAAAAGATTATAATGGCTTACCCCGTGATCGTTTCCGTTATGACTAGCACCGTTTCCATTTGCTTCTTGTTTTTCTCCTTCATCTCCTCCTTCTTCATCCTGTAAAACAAAATAAGAAAAAGAGAGGATTTGCATTAATATTGACATGGTATAAATAAGGATACCATTTCAATTATGAGATTTTATTGAATGTATTCACAGCAATGATAGCAGATTATGAAGCATTAATATTCTTGATATAACATGAAAAATACAATTTTGCTCAAAAATGCAAAAGGAGAGCACTGAAATATCAAACTATGTACATAACAGCTCTCAAGAGCCCCCCTCCCTAAAAATATATCTCTTTACTCAACCCCCCCCCCCATTTTCTCTTCTCCTCTCCCTATTTTTCTCTCTGTTTGCCCACCTCCCCCTCTCTCTCTGTCTCTCTATCTCTACATCCATTCCTCTCTTTCTCTCTCTCCCTATCTTTCTTTTCCCCAGCTTTATATTTTATCACTTTCAAATACCTAAAGCCTCTACATAATTTGCTAGAGATTGAGCCCCACATCATGAGGAAGACCAAAGCTCCCAAAACACTTCAATTGTAAAGCAGTAAACAATTTGTGTACAGCGCTTGTTTTCACGATTTCCTCCCACATTCCTCACCCATTGGGAGTTCATGACCCAATTTACACATAATCAATGAATGGCGTAGCCACTAGACTTGTTGATGAATAGGGGGGGGGGGAGGGTTGACACTCACAATCACAGAGTCACATATAGTTGGGGTAGGGTAAAAGCCTTGATGGTAGTGACCCCTAAGTTCTGCGGTTCACGTCTTGACACCTAAAGGCTTGTTCAGATATATGTGACGATGCGAAAACGTTGCGAAAACGCTGCGGTTTTTTATGATGGCGTAAAGTGTAATATGCTCCACATTTCTGAATCGTACGCAGATTTCAGTGGATATGCTGAAGTCCTATGTAGAGCACAATTGCCTTTTAAAAAAAAGATATGGCAGCTTTTTGTGACGGTCTACTGTGCCATATCTAAACAAGTTTATCTTAGTTTGGTGAATGACTACATTTTTTAACAGATGAACAGAGGGAGGGAGAAGGGCATGTCCCCATTTTGCCCCTGGCTACACCTCAGTCGATGAGTACTCACACCATTGAGGTCATAGACCTCTGAATATTATCACGCAATTTCAGAGAATTTATGGTTTAGAAAATGAGCCTCCGCTGGTATCCCTCTTGCTGAGTCCCTGGCTAGACTGGTCTCATTATGCTGAAATCCACTAAAATGCCCCCCTGGTTTGGATTTCAATCATTATTCAAGTAAGGGTGCGAAATACAGGCTAATCTTAACCAGATGGTTAGGGACTGAGGCAAGCAAATTTCACATACATGTATCCTTGTATTTTACAACATTTGTAATTAAATACATGCAAAATGCATGGGTTGAGGGGGCACCTTAATGCATGTTTAAGAAAAACATATTTTATCATTATTTAAAAATAATTTCTTGTACCCGATATGCAATGTTATAATTTGCATGTTTCTGGCAATTGGACTTGTATATATCTTGACTCGCTAACATTGCCTCAGATTCTGAAACAAAAATTCTGAATTTAGCTCATGCTGCAATCATAATTACAAACCTTTACATGTAGGTCAGTCAGGAATCCCATGACTTTTACAAGCCGATCGCCTGTCTGATTATCAAGATATTTACGATTGGAAATTGAAATTTCATTTTTTTTTTTTTTCCTAACGGTTTTTAGTATATAGGGCAAAGGTTTCTACTTTCTTGTGGCACTTCTTGATCATTTTGAAGCGCAATTTTTTTTTAGGGCTTCAATATTACACTATCACAGACACTGATAACACGTAGGGCCGCCATCTCAGATTTAACATTGTTAAACGATGCCTTTAAGTTGATATCTTGTAAGTCTGTGCGATCATGTCCCTGCAAAAGCATAAGCCCATTGCAGCTGTAGGAGAGACTACCGACTTGCCAGAGGGGACACTCCCAGCAGGACAACCAGGACCTACACCAGCAGGAGATCATCAAGAACTGACCCAGAATCTTAACTGGATCAGACCGGAAAAGATACAATACCCCTAATGTAATTGGGATGAATATTAACCACAATTACTGTTTACATTCAAGATGTTATATTCTTGTATTAAACTTATTATGATGCATGATGATGCAAAGTGATCCAAATCACATTTCATCAGGAAAAACTATACCCCCCTCTCCCCCCCCCAAAAAAAAAACAAAAAAAACAAGCAAAAGCAAAATGATAAACAAAACCCAAATCAATGAAGAATATTGTAGAAATGTATGTCATCATGTTTGGAGCATTTTCAACACAACATAGAAGATAAATAAAGAGAGAAAGGGTACATCTCCTATGTACATGTAACAATTCAATTTGGAGCTCTACCTTTTAGGCAAATTTCAATTACTTCAATTATTATACACATATATTTGCTAGTAGAACTTTTAAAACATTTCCACTTGATTGACTTTGTAGCCCTATAGAGACAGTATGATTTACAATTCTTTCAAATTAATGGTGAATTCTGGTGGACTACTGTAGTGGATGTGAATGTAGGATATCCTACTTCAAACTGATTTACCATAGCAAATAAACCTGTCACTTCCTTAAAGGGATCCGGTAACTCTGTCTTAGATTCTGAAACAAAATTCTGGATTTAGCTCATGATACAATGATAATTATAAACCTTTAGGTCAGTCAGGAACCCCATGACTTTTAGAAGCCGATCGCCTGCCTGATTATCAAGATATTTATGATTGGAATTACAAATTTTGAAAACCGTTTGCCTGACGGTTTTCATAACACTACAGTCTATTGGGGAAAACGAGTATGGTAAAACCGGTCACTCAAAGATTTTTACTTTTTTGAGGCACTTCTTGATCATTTTGAAGCGCAATTTTTTTGGGGCTTCAATATTACACCATATCACAGACATTGATAACATGTAGGGCCGTGTATCTCAGATTTAACATTGTTATACGATCCCTTTAATAGTGCAATAATTATATCAAACTCTTTTTAAAGTCCCTGTCACAAACTGTTTTAGACCTTTCCACAGGCACATTGCTTAGCACTCCTTTTTGTTACTATGAGCCAATTACAACTCCAGGCCTACAAATACATAGCTCTATATCCTTCCTATTAGCTTTTGGACTTTGATCAAACATATTATGTGCACAAATTCAGTGGTAGGATACTCTAAAGATGTTGTACATGTTTATTTCTCCCCTATTTACCTGGTAAAGTAAACAACATCAAAATAAATGCACAACTACACAAGCTATAAACTTCAATGATCTGCTGTATGATCTGTTAGTTTAAATGGAAATAGAAATTGATAAATGGAGCCAATAAAGGGAACAGGTCACTTTACAATTTCAATGTCATTCTTTGAATGATTACATATACAAATAAGATGATTCGCACAATGTACACAGCTAACACTGATAGTGTATGACCTTCGATCCAGAATGCTCAGAAGCTCAAATATTATTTACATAGAATCTATAGGAGAGATGGCAGAAAACAGAGATATGTGGAATAATGTTGCAATCGTCCTCTGAACTGGGGGAAATTACCTTGATATTTTAGGATAAAGTTCACAAAGATATCATAACTAATTACATAGTTAACTGTCCCTGAGCACAAAATGAATGGCTAGTGGCTCGCTTAGGACAGCAATTATACACCAGCAATTTAGGAGTGAATTACTTTGAAACCTTGTTACAATTATGGACCATTTTACAATTATTGACATTTCCTTAAGCAGACAGTGTACATGAATAATAGAGGATTGTTTGTATTCTCAGGTAGTTTATACTACAATTTGTCATTTGATTTTTAAAGCAATTTGTAATGGCACAATGTAATGCGTATGATATTGAGAAATTGTTGTAAACATCCCCAATTCAGCCTTTTGCTACAAAGTATTGTCAAATAAAACCATTATTGAATTGAATTGAATTGAATTGAAATGAACAATGAACATTGCTACTTTATGACCTTTGATCAAGAGTGCTCAAATGTTCTGCAAACGAATTGTGTATATTGTTCAAAATTTATGATACTTATCCTACAAATTACCAAACCACAATTGAAGTGCACACTTACTGTACACTTATGACCGAGCACTTTATGAATGAATTCTCAAAATTGAAAAATTGTAAATAACGGTCATCTGTCGACCATCCACCCAGTTGAGTCAGTACCTAAATAAAGTTGACCCCCAAAGAAAACAATGGATTGAAAAGCATTTTTAACTTTGGCCGTTGTTGTTACGATTTCCAACTACAATGACAGTGTAGCAGCGTGTCTCATTGACAATGACATGCGAGTCACACTTTTCAAGGGCAGAGCGTGGGTAGTTTTAACCGTCCGGTATGTCATTGGTAAAAAAGAGTCAACAATGTGTTTTGATTTGAACGATGACTGTCTGTGAATGGTTTGACAGTTTGATCACGCACAATCACTATATGCCTACATTGTAGATACAGACATCATGTGTCACTATGTGGAAACTGTGCATCGCAAATAATCATTGCTTTAATCAAATACTCTGAAGAGCCTGAAATATTGTCAGGGGTTTGTCTAAATTAGCAACAATTAATGTATGCAATTCCATGAGCACAATCAAAATCACTGACTTTGTACTATTTATGTTATGGGTGTTTCTTTTACAGACCCTTAATTGATGGTACAGTGCTCAATCCAAGTTAGCAAGAATCATATTTATACATTCAGCATTAAAGAAGGAAAAAATTAATTTTGTTGGTAACTTTTGAATTGAAGAGCCTGCCACCAATGATACTGTCACATATATCCCAGGGAATCGTGCTCAAGGCGCACCTAAGAAGTACTTATCTGGCTTTAGCCTACATAGCTGCCGTAATGTACTGTAACTGTAAGCAGTCAAGGAATTATTTTCTACCAGGTACCCATTTGCTATACACCTGGGTGAAGAGTGGCAAATGTACATTAATGCCTTGCAGCAGGACTTGAACTGTGTACAATGTGATCCACAGTTTGATGACATCTCAACATTGTATAT